GAAAATGGTTGGGTAGGAGAAGGGGAATCCTTCTACCTTGTACCTTCCCTTTGCTATTTTGCTAAAAAGGTTGTGATCCTTTCTTCCAAGGCCAAAGGGTGTTGGGAGGAGAGAGGAAAGATCAGGGCAGACAGGAAATCTCTTACCTAATTAGTACAATTGTAAAATGGTCCTGCACTCTCAGGCAAATAACACTGACTATTTTTGTGAGCTATTTTGTGGATTCTTAGAAAGAGCTCCATCACTGAGGGCTTCTCATCTGAGACTGCCTTGATATGACTCATGTGCCAATCCTCCAATTCATCCATCTAAAGCAAACCAACCTGTCTGATGCCTTTTAGATTTCTCAAGACAGGGGGAAAACTCTGGTCTTCTTTGTATCCTAATTTCATATTAAGTTGAGTGAGTGCTTTTAAGCCCCTTCCTTGCACTGGGTTTAAGATAAGGTGAAAGTACCTTATCCTGCCCCTTGGGGAGAGTTAGAATCCCAGCCCATCTCTCATTCTAAAGAAAATACTCTTTAAAATCCTTCCTCAATCCTGTTCTTTTAGACCCTAGATGTAGTAAGAGCTTTTGGCCATGTAATTGGTTTCGAGACTGAATTTTCCATTTGTATCTGAAACCTGTCCAGGAAATGTATCTGTTAACTCTATGTGCCTTAGTCAAAATTTTCTAACATTATATTCTGTTACCTTGAGTGAATATATAAAGCATGACCTCTGCTCTTTAGCAGCTTCCTTTCTAACTGGGAAGGCAACCAACTCATGAAAGTACAAGTGGATAGAAACAGCATTATTCACAGGTGCTACAGCCGCTCAGTAAATGGAGAATCACCAGGGGCTAGAATAATACATTCTATAAGCCTTGTATTAGAACACGCAAAAAACTAGAGCAAAGCAGGCATTCCAGAGGGAAAAATCAGTACTAAAAAAGAAAAGTATATGATAAAAATGATCATGATATTTAAACTAGCTCCCAAAATTGTCTCTTCTCTCCATTTCTATTAGTATAGCCTTAATTCAGGCCACCATTGTCACTCATCTTGATTAATACAATAGCCTCTCGGTCTGCCTAAGTTTAATATTCCTCCCCTCTGCCACCTTTTCTTCATTTATTCTTATCATCTGGATGATAATCCCCTCCAGATTCATCTTTAGTTGCTTCTCCTAGCCAGTCATCCCAGAAATTCCCCCAGATCTCTATATTATTTTGCCTCCTTTCCACACACTATTCTCCCCATCTGTCTCTCCTACCACCACTTCATCTTCACTTGGTTTGTTTGATGATTGATCTACATTTTGTATCATTCTCATCTCTTCCCAGTGTAACTTCCTTTGCATAGCAAAGCTCAGAAAGCTAAAAATCCCACTTCTCATCTTCTGGGTGTGAAAAAGTCTTCATCACTGAGATGTATTCACTCAATGATCAGAAGGTGAAAACACCTTCTGTTTCCTATGGGCAAAGAAAGTTGTGCAAATACTGACATTTCTGCATTCCAGCACAGTCTTCAGCTTCCTGGGTGGTGTTGGCAGCAGTAGCTTCCTGATTCCAGCTTCCTGACTTCTGGATTTTAATCACAGCATCATGTTTTTGAAATCAACTCATCCAGTGGACCTTTTGATTCCCACCTCTGGAATGTGACAAAATAGTACTCCCATAGGTCACACAATTCACAGAATGCCACCATTCTGTGAATCATTACTAGACACTCAGAGCTCATTTTTCTAGCACTTCCAATAATTTCATAAGCATATAAATCCCTTCCTGCTTAAAATGCTTAATGTGCCTTCTTTTCCTATACAGAAGCTTATTTGGTCCACTCTCTAATGCCAAGTCATTCTACAGACCCTAGCTCAAATGCCCCTTTATCTAGGAAATCCAAGTCATCTGCAAGATAAGCAACAAGCAGGAGGGTATTCTCAATGGAAGTTTACATTGTCTCCTACTACTTTCATAGCACCCTGCATATAAGAATATATACAGAATATAAGATTTTCCTAATATTTTATCTTCCCTCCTTACTAAGCTTCCCTACTTCTCTTCCAGAAGGACTTTGTCATATGCATTTTTATACCCAAGCTCCTAGCACAGTCCCTAGTACATGATAAATCTTCAATATAAGTTAATTAATGATGACATGGAGGAATGGAGGGATAGATAGGTGGAGAGGTGGAGGCGTGGAGGGGTGGAGGGGTTGATGGAGTTTAAATAGACCCTTAAACTGAAACAAGTAACAATCTTTTGTGAACCACTCTTTTTCTGTTTATACATAACTTATACTTGAGTCAGAGTTGGGGTTTTTTTTGTCTTCATAATGAGAATATTTTTAAAATATCTTCTACTAACTCATGGAAGTCAAAGAGTAGGACTTTCTTAATTTCCCTTTCTGAAGCAGTATTACAAAGAAGAAAGTATAAAATTGCATGAGTATTCGCCCTGGCTGGTGTAGCTCAGTGGATTGAGCATGGGCCTGCGAATCAAAAGATTGTGGTTTGATTCCCCGTCAAGGCACATGCCTGGGTTGCAGTCCAGTTCCCAGCAGGAGATGCACCAGAAGCAACCATACATTCATATGTCTCTCCTTCTCTCCTTCCCTTCCCTTCTACAGATAAATAAATAAATAATTCTTTTTTAATTGCATGAGTATTCTTCCCAGAATTAGTTTCATAATGAGGGACCAGAAAAACAAAAGTACAGAAATATTTTCCTCTTATCTTAATATAAAATGTAACCATAAAATAAGGACTACATTGGGATGACATTTAGTTGGAATAAAGATGAGAAAACACCATGTCAAAAAAGACAGGTTCTGCATCTATTAAATACAATAGTTACTAGTAATAATAACTATTTTAATATATGGTGTTTTTTATTTTATAGTCTAGAACTTGAGCTTTATCTCATAAGGAGCAGAAGAACTGGGATTTAAACCTGACTCTGTCAAGACACATAACTTAAATATAAAGACACAGAAAAATTTAAAGTAAAAGGACAGAAAAAAATATACCATGCCAACTTTACCAAAAAGAAAATTGATATAGTATAATAATATCAAATTAACAGGACTCAAAAGCAAGAAGTATGACTGAAAATAAAAAAGAATATTTTATATTCATATAAGTATTAATTCAACAGAAATCAATGCATTTAATAACAGCTTTGAAATGCATAATACAAATAATCAAATTAATAATAATAACTTCTAATTTTAACATACTTCTTTCAGTAACTCATAGACTAGGCAGATAAGAAAATCAGTAAGGATATATGAAATTTTAACAAAATTATTAAAAACTTGATATAATAATATACATAACACTATAGATGTAAAACCAACAACTTTGTAATACCTATTCTTATATTTGCATGTGGAACATTTACTAAAATAGATCTTGTACTGGGCCATAAAGAAAGTCTCAACTGTGCCTGCCATAAAGGAAGTCTCAAAGGATACAGTCACACAGAGTAAATCCTTGGACCACAATGGAATTAACCTAAAAATTAATAACAGAAGAGTAACCAAAATAATCCAGAAATCCCAATAGAAATTAGAAATGCCTTTAAAAATAGTTTTAATATTTATTTAATTTTAGAGGTATTGGAAGAGAGGAAGAAAAAGGGAGATTAACATCAACATGTGGCCCTGGCTGGTGTAGCTCAGTGGACCGGCCTTGCAGCACGCTGGTCCTGAGGAACCAAACTAACCACGAGTGGTCGATTCCCAATACACTGAGCCACACGCCTGGGTTGACAGGCCAGTAAATCTCTCCCTCTCTACTTGCCTTATCGCCTCTAAAGCAGTATAAATACATAAACTTAAAATAACATATTTAAAAAGGCTAAATATCAAGGATACAAGTTTTAGCTCAAGAAACTAGGCTGAAAAAAAAAGCCCCAACATATTAAACCCAAAGAAAATAAGAGTTGAAATTAATAAAATAGAAACCAAACATACACTAGAGAAAATTAACAAAAGTAAAAGGTGGCTCTTTGAAAGCAAATTAAGTTTAAAAAATTGATAGAACCCAAGAAAGATTATTCAAGAAAAAACAGAAAGAGCCGTGGCAAGTGTGGCTGAGTTGGTTGGAGTGTTGGCCAGTAGTTGAAGGGTTGCGGGTTCTATTCCCAATCAGAGCACATGCCTGGGTTGCAGGTTGGATCCTCGGTCCAGGTGCGTGTGATTCCCAGTCCAGGTGCCTACGGGAGGCAGCCAGTAGATACTTCTCTCTCACATTCATGTTTCTCTTTCTTCCTGCCTCTCTCTTTAAAAGAACAGGAAGAAAACACGACTTGCTAATATCATATATTTAAAAAGGGGCTTCACTATAGATTCCATAGACATTAAGATAATAAACAGATAATAATTGAATTTGAGTTTAAATAAAATGGACAAACTTCTTCAAAAATACAACTTACCAAAAATGGCTAAAAAATAAATAGAAAATTTTAGTTCTGTGGGTATCAAAAACATTGAACACATACTTAAAACAATGGAAAACTTTAGGCCCAGATTCTTCACCAGTAAATTCTTCCAAATGTTTAAAGAAATAAGAACAATCTTATGCAAACTCTTTCTGATAATAAAAAAGAACTATTTCCCAACTCATTTTGTAATACCAGTATAACTTAATACCAAAGTTGACAAACATTAAAAGGAAGAAAAATTACAGGCCCGTATATCTCAGACGTAATGCAAAAATTCCAAACAAGATATTAGCAAATTGAATCCATGTAAACATAATAAGGATAATTATATTTCAATTAAGTAGGCTTATTATAAGAATTCAAGGTTGGTAAATATTTCAAAATGAATAATAATAACTGATAGAATAAAGAAGAAAATCCATACAATTATTTCAAGAGAAAAACAAGTTAGTCTCACTTAAAATTCTAGGCTTTAAAAAAGTAAACAGCACTGTATGAATATGGAATGTATTCATTTACAAGTAAAAGAATATAATAAAACTGAGTAAAAGGAGCTTAAAGCAAATGGGACTCACGAAGCATAGAGGAAGGCAGTTAAAGCTGTTTCAGTGTTTAATGGTGACATATGGGATCCAGCCTCTTTTTGTCCTTCTGCTCTGCCACTTTTTGAAGCATCTATAATAGTGCCTGGCACCATAGTAGGTATTCGGTAAATATCTGTTGAAGGAAACAATCAGTGCTTTAATATTCACCCTGAAGTTTATTACCTAATGACCATAAGACTAGCCTAATGGCCTCCAGCTCCATATCCAGGCAGGAAGAACAAAGCAGAAAGGATTGTGGTGCCTATATCCAGAAAACCAGAAACCCTCAGCTTTCATTTCCTTGTATAGAACTGACTCATTCAGCCACCTGACTGCAAGAGAATTTGGAGAGTAAGTATTTTTAGCTGGGCACATTATCACCCTGAAAAAAACAGAAGTTCTGTTACTCAGGACAAAGTAAGAATAGATACTGGGTCCCTCATATAGAGGACACAAGGATAAGCGCTATTAAATCCACAATACTGGTAAGAAAATTCATCATCTCTGAAGAGAGTGAAGTTTACCAAGAAAGTCAGAGAAGGAAAAAAATAACCACAACATCGGGAAGAGTGAGATAACAACCGTGCAATAGGTCCAAACAAAGTGCTCTGGGAAATCAAAGGCAGAAAAGACAGCATCTACTGGGGAGACCTGAATGGTTTCATAAACAAACCTTTTGAAAAGTTTTTGTCACTGGCTAAGATTCTCACAAGTAGCAATGGGCAGTAGGATATTTCAGCGGTGAAAGTACCAGCAAAAGCAATTAGGCAGTATATCTGATATCTGAGGAAAAATAAATGTACACTACAGTATCAGATATTCCTAAGGATCTACTTGGAGATGAAGCTAGAAACACAAATTTGGACTATATCATAGGGGCACTGAATGCTGGGTAAAAAAAATTTAACCTTCAATTGACAAAGAAGAAAATCAAGGATTTGGGGTAAGGAAAGGACAAAATAGATGTGACATTCCCCCCATTTGATTAAGATATAATTGTAAGACATTGTGATTTATAATAAGATATGTGCACAGTGTTTGGTCTTCATCTCTGCTTCTGGTATAGAGCTCCTCAAACCATCGTGATTAACAAGAAAGTGACAAGGGTGTCTTTTCTTATGTTAATTAAGCGACTTTTGCATTACACCTAAGCATGGAGACTGGTTGTCCTGGGGAATCAACCATGTGATTAAAAATTGAAACTTTCATTCCCACACCTCCCCATCTGCCACCTACCCGCCCCATTTCCCAGCCCTGACATCCTGACAGGAGAGAACTGAAGACTGAGTTCAATCACCAATGGCTAATGATTTAATGAACACTGCCAATGTGATAAAGCCTTCATAAACACCGGAAAGAATAGGGTTTAAAGAGCATCAGGGTTGGTGAAAAAGCGGAAATTCAGGGACAGTGGCCTACCCAGAGAAGGCTGGGAAGCTCCACATCATGGAAGCACCATACCCTTTTTTCACACCTTGCCCTGTGCATCTCTTTCATCTGCCTATTCTGTTACATCCTTTTACAAGAAACCAGTAATCTGGTAAATAGAATGTTTCTCTGAGTTCTTAGTGCCCCTAGCAAATTAATCAAACCTGAGAGAGGGAATCATTGGAATCTCCTATAAACTGTTGGTCAGTCAGAAGCCTAGATGACCACCTGACTTGTAAGTGATGTCTGAAATGGCATGGGGACAATCTCGTAGGACTGAGCCCTTAATCTATAGGATATATATAATGCTATCTGCAGACAGATGGTGTCAGAATTGAATTGAATGGTAGGACACCCAGCTAGTATCAGAAATGACTTGATAGTGTGATGAACCACCTCTCCCCACCAAGTTAAAATAAATAATAAGACCCTTAAATTTTCACGTGACATCATATTAGATTAAGGTGTACAACATAATAATTTGATATAGGTATATGCTGAGAAATCATCATAGATATGGTACTTTTGAACATGAAAAGTTTGCAACTAAGAAACAAGTTTCCAGAATGCTGTAGCTGTTTAGGAGAGAGATCTATGTTCCAGGCCTGAACAAGAACAAGGCAGAAAGTTCTTAGTGCTATAATGACCTTAACTTAATGCTAGGGCAACAAGGAAAAGAAAGGCAGAATGAGAGAGACCCTGCAGAGGAAGAACCATTTGGATGTGGCAATTGGTCAGATGCTAAGATTAGAGAAAAGGTGGTGACAGTCTTAAGCTTTACTGAAAAAGGGCAGTGATGTCATTAACACAAGAGAAGGTGTTATGAGGATGTCTAAGTGAATCTCAGCCAACCCAAAGATGTAGCTTTAGAATGCATCGCCATGAACAAGAACTTCTCTGAAAGAGCAAGCCTAGGGAGAAGAAACCCAGGACCAGACCTTGAAAGGGGTTAGAGAGTAGAAAATTTAAGAGGAGCCGGTGAAAAAAGAGAGGAAATTAAAGAAGGAGGAGCTAGAAATGTAAACATCAGCAGGAAGGGGCCAGGGCCTTTCTGGCATCAAAAACAGAAGGCAGAGATTTTGTGTGTGTGTGTGTGTGTGCATTACTCACTTAGCACCTATATAATTCATCCAATCGCAAATGCCTTTAAAACAAGACGTGTCTAATTTGCTCTTGTGTTTCCAATGCATAGTCCCTTAATAGTTAGTGCCACTGAATAGTCAAATACAACAGAGCTCCTTATTTGTAGTTTTGCTTTGCAAGGTTTCAGTTACCCACAGTCTGAAAATATTAAAATATTCCAGAAATAAAGAATTCATAAGTTTAAATTTTGTGCCATTCTAATGTAGCTTGATGAAGTCTTATGCCATTCGTCTCTGTCCTGCCTGGGATGTGAATTATCCCCTTGTCCGGCTTGCCCATGCTATACATGTCCCTGCCCATTAGTCTCTTTCTATTCATCTTCCTTATGTTAGACTGTCACAGTGTATTGTGCACACTGTGCTTGTGCTCAAGTTACACTTATTTACCTTAATAATGGCACTTCCATGTAACTTTTATTACAGTATATTGTTGTAATTATTCTATTGTATTATTAGTTATTGCTGTCCATCTCCTACTGTGCCAAATTTTTATTATACTTTATCATAGATGTAGATGTATGTAGTTTCAGTACTATTCATGGTTTCAGACATTCATTGAGGGTCTTGGAATATGTTCCCTGGTGATAAGGAGAGACTTAATACAGAGGCAGAGAGGAAGGTTGGAAGAACAAAAGGGGGCTAGGAAGAAAGGAGGAAGAAACTAAAAAGCTGGGTTGGTGATTTGGAGAGTGTTTTCAACAGAACGATAGAAGTAAAAGACCCATTGCAAGTGGTGACAGGCGTGACTAACCCAGGATGAAGACAGTGGGTAGGGATTGCTTTTTCAACTACGTTAATGATGAAAAGAATGGGGGCTAGTGGAGAAAAATCTGGTTTTTCTTTGCTTTTATTTTGTTTACGGTGATGGGAATACAATTCAACATATTATTTTGAGTTTTCCCTTCTGATATCTAAAGCATTCAGGTGGCTCTATTATTTACTCAAAAGTCTTCTCAGCTTCTTTTGTTGTTATTCTCCCAAATTCTTTTTTCTTTTTTCTTTTTTTAAATACATGTTATTGATTATGCCATTACATTTGTTCTATTTCCCCCCTTTGTTCCCCTCCACCCTGCACACCCCTCCCCCACCATTCCCCCCTTTAGTTCATGAACACTTCTCTCAAGTTCTTTAGATTCTGTATTTCCCCTGCTATTCTTACCCTCCCCCTTATCTATTTTCTGCCTACCGTCTATGCTACTTATTTTCTGTGCCTTCTCCCCCCTTCTCCTCCTCCCACTCCCCTGTTGCTAACCCTCCATGTGATCTTCATTTCTATGGTTCACTCCTGATCTAGCTGTCCTCTTAGTCTGCTTTTGTTTTAGGTGTGGTTGTTAATAACTGTGAGTTTGCTGTCCTTTCACTGTTCATCTTTTTTATCTTCTTTTCCTTAGATAAGTCCCTTTAACATTTCATATAATAAGGGCTTGGTGATGATGAGCTTCTTGAATGTGATCTTACCTGAGAAGCACTTTATCTGTCCTTCCACTCTAAATGAAAGCTTTGCTGGATAGAGCAATCTTGGATGTAGGTCTTTGGATTTCATGACTTGAAATACTTCTTTCCAGCCCCTTCTTGCCTGTAAGGTCTCTTTTGAGAAATCTGCTGACAGTCTGATGGAAACTCCTTTGTAGGTGACTGTCCCCTTATCTCTTGCTGCTTCTAGGATTCTCTCCTTCATTTTAATCTTGGCTAATGTAAGTATGATGTGCCTTGGTATGTTCCTTCTTGGGTCCAAGTTCTTTGGGACTCTCTGAGCTTCCTGGATTTCCTGGAAGTCTATTTCCTTTGCCAGATTGGGGAAGTTCTCCTTTATTATTTGTTCAAATAAGTTTTCCACTCATGGCTGTTCCTCTTCCCCTTCTGGTACCCCTATAATTCGGATGTTGGAATGTTTAAAGATGTCCTGGATGTTCCTTAGTCTCTCCTCATTTTTTTGAATTCTTGTTTTTTCATCTTTTTCTGTTTGGTCATTTTTTTCCTTCTTCTGGTTCACTCCCTTGATTTGAGTCCCAGTTTCCTTTCCATCACTATTGGTTCCCTGTGTATTTCCCTTCATTTCAATTAGTTTAGCCTTCATATGTTCCTCTATTTTGTGGCTAAAATCAACCAGTTCTGTGAGCATCCTGATCACCAGTGTTTTGAACTGTGCCTCTGATAGCACTGTTCTTGGCAATTTCTTGTTCACTTAGACTTATGGGTTTTGGGGCTCTGAGTTCTTGAGCCATGTTTGGTCTGTTCGTGCCTGATACATATGAGGAGAGGAGCCTTAGTTGTTCACCAGGGCAAGGCCACCCAGGTCGCTAGTTTGTGACGCTGTATGTGGTGGTGGGGTTGGAGAGGGAGCAATAGCGGTCCCCTCTGCTCCTTCCTGCCACTGGGGCCTGCCTGGTCTGTCTCACTGCTCACTCCTTCACTGGTTTATCTGCGTGCGAATGTGTGGCCACGGCCAGCCTGCTGCCTTGCGCCTTCACTGGATCCACTCGTCTCTATCCCACACCTGGGATCTGCCCTTGGCTGCCTGCGCGCCTGGGTCAGGGAATCTTTTTTGCCTGACCCACTCAGCTGCTTGCTCTGCCCCTCTTATGGGCCTGGCTGAATGGCTCATTGTTGTCGGACTCCCGTATTGTTCAATTTTCTGTGGTCTGGCTGCATTTTTTGTTGCTAAAAC